TCAAACACTAGAAAGAACATTTCCTTATTTTGCAGTAATTTCCTTTTTTTTCTTTATTTTTTTAGAAATGAATAGCCTTTCTATTTCGATCGGGAAAGAAAATTGAATATCATGATGGCTCGATTCATCGCACCTTTTAATCTGGATGAATATGGGTTGATAGGAGATAGACTTATTATAGATTCAGATTAAAACTCAATGAACTAGATCTGTCTAATACAACCGACATTTGACTTTCGCACCGTATTCGGATAGGTACGGTTGTATATATAGGCCTAAAATGAGCTCTAGTAAAACATTTTAGGACTAGCTAACCAAAGCTTTTTTCACAATGATTTTGAAAATAGGAATTGAAAAAAAAACATTTTAGTTACCAGTATGCCCTTTTCTCGTGAGCATACAAGGAACTTCCACAAAATCCAAGCATATGATAGGATAGTCTTTTACTCTAAATGATATAACAGAGATCCGAATCAATACTAAAACTTTCAAAGCTTAATTGAAGGGAATTATAATGTCCATCCTTGAGTGCTTTAAAATCAATATTGCTCTGGTAGTGATTCAAGAACATCGTTGGCACATATAAAGGCAACTCAGTGTGTATTATAAAACGCTGAATGATACAATATAGCACTTCAAATATTCTTCAGCAACAGCAAAACGAGAATGTGCTATTGATCTAGATTCGTAAAACGACTGTACTCGTCAGGGAAGATATCAAAACGCATCATGATGGAACATTTCAAAGACAAATCAACAATAATCATCATTGCTGTTGATGACCCTATAGCATATAAAAACGACGTAGAAAAGTATTATTTCTAGGAAGACCTATAAAATTATATCTATCAAGTTTTACTGCGCAGTGTTCTTATTTTTAATGATGGCTTGAATGGAAGGTTAGTTGCAGAAAATTATTTAATGAATTCATTCACAATCAAAAAATAGAGATACTGCGGTATACATGACGACAACAGTAACCGACATGTTAACTACTAGGAAGACAGCAATCTGTCTTCGCCACTAACTATATTCCTACAGGTAGAATCAAAATCATGGACCTGCTCTCATTCAAACTATCGATCAAAAGCGTACCTCGATGACACCCTAATTAACGGAAAGTGATTGAACTGAATTAGAAATCTGCATATATCCAATTCAAACTAGTTAATTTCTGACGATGGAATTATGTGCGTGACAGTACTGATCAGCTTCTGAGCTCACAAAGCCAACAAATACAAATGCCTCAAGTTTTACTGCAACAAACTCAGAGAAAAATCTAATCTAAGAGTTCGTTTCCGGATCGAGAAAAACATTGTTTGGAGGTTCTTTTCGCAAACAATCTTGTAAATAATATTCAGAAAAAATATGGCATTTTCTGAGGATGCCTAGAACACGCAAGAACAAACCTACTTAGAAAATAGTAATGAAAAAGCTAAAAGGAAAGGATTAGAACAGGCGCTATCAACACATCAAAGCAACAAAATAAAGCAGATACCAAATTCAAGCATAGTACAAGTGCATAGGAGAGAAGTCATTGAGATAAATCAAACGAACTGTTCCACTGTTATTAGAACATCGAAAAAAATCAAATCCATAAAGTGTGGGTACGTGATTGGATGCAGCTGAGATCTCAGTGTAGACATCGTCGTCTGAATGTTTGCAAGATTGTGAATATGAGTCAGAGATGTTCATGACAGGTTTTTTTTTGATCCGACCCGTTCGTGATCGAACCCGGCCCGTCTCACGGGTTGAATAATTTTTCTTTGGACCCGCGGGTTACTGCACGGGTTGAACACTTATCAACCCGTCACAGGTTACCCGCGGGTTAATACAAATTTTAGAAACGTGAATTTTGACAACATAAATTGTTTAAAAAAATCACTCATGAGTTGGCTAAACTGTGAAGTGAAGACTGATATTCATAAGACCGGATGAACATTTTTATCGTACAAATTATCAGAAAAAGAAATGCGCGAAAAAAATGATAAAATAAATGGACGGAAAAAATGTCGATGTTATCTTGTATTTCTATCATCAAGCTTAAAAAAACGCACATATACGTGTACACGCTAAGGGTCGGCAAAGTTGACTTTATTAGGTATCGGAATCGGCAATATGAAATGTTTTTGGGATCAGAATCAGAATCATCAGTTCCGATTCCAATTTGGAACGGCTTATTCCTTGATTAACAAGTAATTGTAAAGTATTCACGCTAGCCTTTGAATTAAACGTATTTGATGCTAAACAGAGTTGGAAGTGTCTTCTTTTGCTGTTTATCAAATGTTTGTTTATATATGTTTCTAAATCACTCGTTCAACTGTTTGTTAAGATGCAGAGAAAAAAGTGCATTATCTTTTATGAAAATGTTACCAATTTCAAAATTGTTGACTGTCGAAATCGAATCGTGTCGGAATTGGCAACATAATGTTATTGGGATCGGAATCGCCTGTCCTTAGTGCATGCTTCGAAACAAGTGGGTGAATAACTAGAATGAAGATGTAGTAATGACAATGAAAGAAAGACTTCACATGTCAAAGAACCAAAGAAGTAATAAAAAGAACTAAAACAGTAGAGAAACGAAGGAATAGAATGAATGTTGAGCGTAGCTATCTGTGAAACGAAAGAATGAAGAATGAAAAGAAATGACAGGCAAAGTTTGTGAACGGGTTAACCCGCGGGTTACATGTAAAACGATAAACCCGACTCGTGAGCCCGTAAACCCGTGCAAATATCTAACCCGCAAACCCGTGACCCGTCATAGGTCTAACCCGGGTACGGGTTACGGGTCTGGTCAAAATGGATCAACCCGTGAACATCTCTGATATGAGTGTATATATACTGTAAACAACTTTAATGCAAGCTCGCATCCATATCTACATTCAGAATTATAATTTTTCTGATTGAAGTGTACAAAATAGGAGTGTACAAAGTTCAATAACATGTCCCAGTAACAGTATCTTTCCAATGTTTTTAGTTGACTTGTTTTTGTGTTCGATGTTTCTAGACCATGAATAGCACATGGAAGTTTGGTCAAATTATGAAAGTTAATCTGACCAGCCTTTAGAGCGATGGCTGAAAATAGCATATTATCATTTATTATTCGATACTGTACACATATGGGAGACGTCGACTATTGCTCTCGCTCTGGGCAGCACACAAAATGGTGTTATGGGGCTTATTCTACCACGGTCTACTTTCAGGCAGCTTCTGTGAAATTCTAACACAGATGAAATCAAATTTGTCGAGGACACCAATTTAATGAGTTATCGACTCTCTTTTATCGACTCCAGTATGAATAGATCTTGCTGGATAGTGAACGATAAAACTAATAAAGTAAAAAGTAGATGAACAAAATATGTGTGCCGTCTATTCACTTCAATATTCACACATCATACTGAAACCCACATCATCATGCCTTTCTCTGCCCATCAACACGCACATTCATCACTAAACCCAGATCTCGACCCATATCCGATCCTCCCGTACGCCTATACTCACACTCATTCTCATCTGAACAAGCCATCATACCCACATTCATGATCCCTTATCTCATTAATAATAATATTTTATGATAACTTGTCAATTCAATCAAATGAGTCACGCTTTTCATCTGATCGTTGAAATCGAGATTATTGCAGAATGTCTTGTTCCAGATAATGTTTCGTCTGTGGAAACTGTTTGAATTGTATTTTATATCGTTTTGTCGAGTTGAGCAAAATATTTTCGAGTGAAGAATTTTGTTTTCTTAGTAATACTGGATTTTTCACGTCAAATATCATAGCAATGTGGAATATTTCCGCAGCTACATGGGCAAGGTTCCAGCAGGAAGAGCGCAACGTAGTTTTCAATAGAAATTATCTGAATAACTGATATTCTCTATTCGAAAAGATAGAGCGTAAGGATGAATTTTTGAGTAGGAGTACGCCAGTTCTCTCGTCTTTATTCCGCCGATACGTACTCTTCCTCCCTTACTGTGACCATTCGGTTACTTGTGATAAACACTTGAATACGATAAGTGAGTGTGTTGACGAAACGATTTGATCAAAGATTCTATTTGCTCATGCATTGTAGAAGCTTCTCTTCTGCTTCGGCCACTAATCCTATACATGTGGGCACGTATAAAAAATAAAAATCTGATTATATAATTTACTTCGTTCTAAACAACAGCATTATAAGCGTCTACATAGTCTTCTCATGCTAGGTCTTAGATACTCGCTCTTCATCTGTCTCCCTCTTCTCGGTAGAAAATTGATACAGTGAAACTTAATTTAATAGATAACAAGCTTTCGATTGTTATAGATTTGAGTCAATGGACAAATGGTCTTCAATGCCATGCGTGCAGTGGCTGCAACGATCCGTTCAAGGAGTGTGGCATTAGCGTATCAAACGGATGTGTCCAATATCCATTTCTCACGAATTTGGTTCAGGAAAATCTATCGACGCTTGTAACAAAAAACTTTCACTTT